CACTGCCCAAAAGATCTGTCATGATGTTTTTTTTTATGAAAAATAATAATAATGTTATCAAATGCATCTTTATCATTAGGCTTTTATTTTGGTTAATGATTTAAACTCAAAATGTTGTTGTATTGAGATGGAAAGGCTGTATCCATAACTGCACAAAAGCGTACAAGAGGAACAAACAGGAAATATGTAAGAGGTGTTGGAATAAAAAGTATGTGACTTATTAAGATGATATTCAAATATCATGGGTATCTTTGCTAATGGTATATTGCAACACCCCAAGGCGTATTGAATGTATATATAAGCAGTGTGTAACCAACCAAAACTGCACAATAGGCTAAGCTCAGGCTGGAAACACTAACCTCAGTGTACTGAATGCCTCGTTGGGAGCCACCAATGGCGGCCTCAGAGGGAAACAGACACTCCAGGAACTCCATCCGGTTCAGGGAGACGTCCGTGCTGAAAGTCCGCAGACTGGACCCCTGACAGTGCTCATAGCTGATCTTCAGGCCCTGGCCCACAAACCTGGACATTTATAAAACCCCAGATCAGACAGACATAAAACACTTACATGAAAAATCAAGTGTAACCTTGAAGAAAAGATGTAAAAAGGCCACCTTAGATGGTCATGGGGACAAGCTTGGTTAAACACTGTCCGAGACTGAAGGAAAGCAGCTGGAGCGAGACGGCCCGGGCCCACCATGTTGAAGAACTGTGCCGCCATGGGGCCGAGGGGGCTGGGAGAAGCATCTGGGGGGGGCAGCGGGTCGATGTGGAGGACGGCCACAGCCAGGCTACTCAGAGTTAACCTCAACACCAGCTCTGGCCTGGACTCATCACCGTGCGTTTTCGTTGGATGGGCTGAAAAACAAATCCACAAAATACTTAATTTCAGTGGTTTAATGATAACCATGTGCAACAGAAGGTTAGGTTTGTAAAGAGACCAGCCGGAGTCACTGACTATCATATCTACAACCAAATATAAATAAAGGTCTAATCGGGAAGACATGCTGATGTTAACTCTGGTTAGAATGAAATCCTACAAAATACTTTCCATCTTCCAGCACAGTGCCAGGTGTAACAGTATTTAGTAGTTACATGTGTATAAAGTATGTAAAACATAAACAGGTACATTGTGATACTTACATGTCTGTCTCAGTAGTTTTTGAGGGAAATGGGAATCCCGTTGGGCGGGACTTTCATTAGTGTGCTTTTCTCTTTGTCGTGGGACATCCATGTAATCATCCCACAGAGCCTACAAACACAGACATGATGCCAGATAGCTTTAAAAACAGAAGCTCATTTGGGAGGATTTAACCACAGAAACTAAAACACTGAAGTGTCAATTATAAACCTCGTAGTTTTACCAGCACAAAAATAAATAGTTATTGTAATGCACTTTACTGAGGATATCAGTATTTAGGAGAGTAACAAGACCACAGGGAACTCTTATGATCAAATTTGAATTATCATAATAATATTTTCACCTGATTATTTTCTTAATTCTCAATTATTTGGTTTACAAAATGTCAGGAAATGGGAAAAAGATTCCATCCCAGTTCCTTAAAGTCCAATGCGATACAGTTTTACTTCACATAAAACTGTATCAGAAATAAATCACAGATACAGTTTTATTTCACATAAAACTGTATAAAACTGAGATAAATCGCTTATCTCTTTTTTGTCTATTGACTAATGGACTTATTAGTCACCCTGCTTGTCCCTGCACTTATTTCAATGTGTCTTCATGACTGCAGTCAAACAGACGAGGACTTACTGTGGCATTTCCAGAAGGAGATTCTCCTGGTGAGGCAGAGTAGTTGCTATTGAGGGACAGATCCAAGTCAACGGTGGGGGGTTCACCCAGAGGAGGAAGGGATGACAAGCTGTGAGACATGTCCATGTCTGCCATGGAGAAGAACACATCATCTACACCAAACACAAAAAAACAAATCAAAGGAAAGGAAGAAGAAAAAAGAAATGTCATTAGTTAAATGCAACCATGACTTCTGATTTGTCTAAAACTCTAGGGCTAGGGCATCTCAGTCCAACCTCGACTAGACACAGTTCTGGTGGTCTGGCTCTCAAAGAGGTCTGCGTCCGTCCCTGGCCCAGCAGTGTCCTTCTTCAGACAGCGGTTCAGCTCCATGTGGAGTCGATACTCATCCTCTTGCTGTATTGGTCGGCTCTTTCTATCCTTGGCCCATTCCTGTGCACCTTCACACAAAGGAAAGGAAAATACTCTCTTCTTAATATATGTATTTAGCACATTATGTAACATTATAACCCTGCTTGATCCACATGTTCTCCTTTATCTTTCCACAGAGGGTTTCTCACCTCCACCAGAGAAAGCTCCACACAGGTCCAGAAGAAGATGAACTTGCCGTGGGGACAGCAGAATAATAAGTGTATCAATATGTCCAACAACATCCAGCTGAAAAGCAAAGCATGTAAAACACACTGGTGGTTAGTAACAAATACCCATAGCTTGTTATATTGATTTAATAATGACTGATTTACCTTTGCTCCAGGCATAGCCATGTTGTTTTTCAGAGTGAGGGACAACTCAATTTGACCACAGAGGCTCCCGACCTGCACAGGTTCAAAGGGTGTTGTGGAGGAAACAGGCTCTGTAAACTGGGGATGAGGCTCACATATTATTTTGGGATTCCAGCTAGGTGAAAGTTTTGGGTCATTTTCCTGCAAAATAAGAAAAACATGTTGTTAAACGCTGATACATACATACAGTTTCATGGCAAATTTCAAAGACTTACTACACTAACCGTTGGAGTGGGTGAAGATTTACAACCAGCACGGGACACATCTGAGAACTCATCCCAAAATACGGTCATGTCTTCCATCTGCAAGTTTTTATGTGCAAATGTGGTTGGCTGATGCACATTCACACTGGAGCTCTCCTCGTCTGTTTCATCGCAGTAAACAATCCTGAAAGCAACAGCAGAACACGATGAGCTTAACAAGGACCTGCAGTTTAATAGTTCATACTATTAGCTGCAGCTTCTTTAGCACTGTGTGAATACTTTTCTGATTTCTTGTAAAATCCTGATCAAGGACTTTATAGTGATAGTGGATGAAGGCTGGAGTTTCTAGAGTGTAGTTACTGATTTTGAAAAATAATTTGAACATTTTGGAGATTGCCTGATATCCCATGGACAGTCCCCACTTACTTTTTTATTCGAATCTCAAGGGCGATTCCAGTTTTAGAATTTTCGGGAATGTGTTCGACTCTGAGAACTGTATCCAAAAATGTCACCTTAACTCTTCTCAGAACTGCACGATGGAAAAATAAAAGAAATGACTTTAAATAGACATAGGCTGGTTACAATGTTTGGTTTGAATGTTGCCTAGCAGCATAGACACACCGTACCTGTCTCTATCGTTTCTGCAAACTTCTCTAATCCCTCGAAAGGCTGGAAGCTCTCTCCCATATCATCTGTGAGTTTCTGGCTGAGACATTCTTTGGCAAGCTGCATGCTGCTCGTCATGAAACTGGACCAGTACATGGGCTCTGTGCCAGATGCTGGAGGAACAGCCAGTGGTGACACAGTTATTGACTTCTATCAACTTTTAAACATGTTACAAAAAGACAACATGTTTCACATCGATCTAAATGCTTTAATCAAAGAGTCTGACTCGACTTACCCACTCTCGGCCTTGGTCTGAGCACCATCTCCAAACCTTTGATCTCCAGGGCACAGTTTTCGTGCAGTAGGGCAGCCCATGGAACCGTTAGAGAAATTGTCTGGATGAACCCCGCAATAACCTCAAAAGGTGCATCTGCTGTCTCTAGGAGCTCATTGAGTGACTGAGAAAGAAAAGAAAATGCTCAAGTCTCTCCTAAATCAAATAAATTCATCTGTTGTACGTCTGCAACAAAACAAACATACCCATTTATCCAATGGCACTTGTGCAAGTGTTCCAGTGCCTTGATAGAGGTCTAAACTGAGCTGATCCAAACTCAGTTTCTCTTGAAGGAAGTTTCCAAGGTACCGATGCAGAAGGTATCTGCAGGCCCGCTTCTTGATGGATTCCGAAAATGGCCAAGGCATTTTAACTCAAAAGGTGAACAGTTCAGTGTAATAAAAGGGATCTTGAGGCCCTGAAACGGAATGCTATAGCTACTATAAATGAATCACTAGTGGTACAGTTGTGTCATCCTGTCGACTTAAAGACATTGGGAAATCGTGAACTCAAACCCCCCTCACATCCTAAAATAAGGGTCACTTTGGAGGATGTGCGACACTCAGGGTTGTGTGCGGGAAATGGTCTGACTCCAGTTTGCTGCTGCTATGGAAAGACCTATGACAAAACACACACATGCAATTTGACACTTGTCACAACATGAGCGTTAACACATAATGTTTACAACACAGCTGAAAACAACAAGCTGCGTCAGTTTGACACAGGAACTGATTTAAATTGCTCTAAAATTATAATAAAGAGCAACACAACATAACATGTCCAGTTAACGTTAGTGTTATTCTAAGCACACATTTATCCTCCAAGTGATAAACAAGCCAAATGCACTTGGAAATAATCGTTAGCATGCCAGAGAGTTTATAGTTAATAGCTACCCTTCGCTATGTTTACTTTATCAGGGCTGTCATCGTAGTAAAGGGATGGGAGTCGCGCTAGCTAAACAAAGGCATACATTTAGCTTAGTAGCCGGCTAGCAAGGCTAGCGACGTTAGCTAGCCTAATAACCACTCCTGTCTGCAGAGTGAGGCAACATTAGCATAGCCGGCTAACTGTAGCAGTACACGCTCGCTGGATGGCTAGCTAACCCTTAAATCAAAAATCTCTCAAATTATGACCCTAACCCCTGCACTGTACACTGACAAATAACACGTTTCACATATACACCAGCGCAATGTGACTAAACAGATAGACAAATGAACACACTTGAAGATATTAGTGCAGCTGTCAAATTACCTTCTGTGTGAGTTGTTTACAAACACTCTCATGACTCCGCACCGATTGAGCCCACTCACTCCGGGGTGGGATTAAACCATGACGTCACAACATGGCGGATCTGTGTAGCTCACCGGACACTTCACTGGGTCAGCGTTTATTTTAAGGTCGTTATTTAGACACTACGCAGTCACTATATAACAAAGCGTGCGTTAATGTGATTTCTGTCTCTGGTTGTCTACACATTTGATGCTAAACAGAGTTTTCTGGCGTCAACGCTCACTTGACTGAAGCCTCTCGACGGAGAGCTCTGAGCGGGCTGGAAGCTGCAACTAGCCGGAAGAGCACAACCAGCGAGGAGGTGAGGAAAATGCACGCATTTTGGTCAGAAATCATCCATGCAACCTAATAAGACCCAATGCATGAGCCCCGTTAAATTGCGTGCAAAATGAATGCCTTCTAAATACGAACAAAGTGATATAAATAGGTTTAAATGTCCCACAGCAACATATTGCTTAATGTAACACGTTAGCCCTCAAAGTAAGCTACAGTAGACCAGTCTCGCTAACTAGATGTATGTATTATGTATGTACATGGCGAATAATAACATTTTCATTAAACTTACTTTGATTCAGTACTAACTATGATGTCAGTAACCAGGTCTATTTTGCTTCAGTCGTCTTTAATAGAAGGCTCCTCAGAGTCCTCTTGATGTCGCTGTTATGTCATTGTTTTTAATGAATAAACATTTTTAACACTTTATTTATTGGTTTTTCCCACACATAACACAATAACAGAAGAGTACAAATGCAGGTGCTATATAAAAAAGATGACAAAACAATAATGATAATAACATAAAAAGACCATTACAGTAATAGCAATGACACAAATAAACCAAAATACACAATGACATGATAAGACAGAAACAGAAAACCCTAAGACCAGTCCCTCCCACCCCTACCTCCAGACAGGGCCACACTGTGCAGTAATCGTCAAAAAAGGAGAAAGACATATTCAACTACTTGCGTCAGCAAATGCATGTGTATTTATCATAGCACTTCTTCAGCCTACAATAGGTTGTTGGATGTTTTCTATATAATTCCTAAAGCCAGACCAGTACTTAACTACTTATCAAAGATATGTGGCTTTCTTGTATGAGAAAGTTACTCCCATTTTAAGTCTCCAAAGGTACAACTCAGGTCTTGCTCCCACTTGGTCCTAGAATTCAGGGGTTTAACCCCTGTAAGGGCCAGAATGCGGTTATATGTCAAGGAAAGTATACCTCTGGAGTGCTTAACAACTTTTAGAACATTTTCAATTGGGAGAGACTGGAGTTTTCCCCATGAAGTGTGCTTAAAAAGTGTCTGACTTGCAAATATTTGAGGAAATTATTAGTTGGGAGGCTGGAGGAGCCACAGCTGTTCAAAGGTCATAAGTAAGTTATTCTCGTTGAGATCCCCAAATGTTTTGATTCCCTGGGTTTGCCACATTTTGGTTATCCCATCTCTAAGTGCACCTGGCAGAGCAGGGTTGGTATGGAAGGGAGTATGCTGTGAAGTATGACAACACTATTGAGAAGTTTCTGTATATCAGACCAGATTCTAGCTGTGTGATTAATAATAGGATTATCAGTATATAAACATTTAGCATTAATGCTGGTACAGGATTTATAGATGGTAATATGGTGGTGCTGGAAAGCAAATACGCATATTTACTCAACACTTATTGTACACATCTACCACATTTATTTGACAGCTGTATTAAAAAAAATATATATAAAAACAAATAATATAGTCATCTTGTAAAAGTGTAAAATTGTAAAAAAAAAACACTGTGTAAACACCATTAAAAGGTAGCAGTAAAAATCATTCTGTATTACATTTATGATAATATAATGGGGCTATTTTTCTGAAATGAAATATTTTTAATTTAATAATAATAACAGTAGTACAACTTGCTGACTTGCTTTGTTCTTAAACTTAATATTCACTTCAATAGTAAAATAAGCATATGTCTCAGTATATTTGTATCTACTGTTTAATTGTTGCTCCATACAGGGTTCAGTCTACACAACAGGAAAGTACAAATGTCTATCTAATTCAGCCTCACCAGCACTGTGTGTTGGTTAAATATACAATTACAAAGGAACAAGCCATAATAGCATTGAATTCTCCTGTAAAAACTGACCATTGGGTTTTAGCCCTAAAATCCCCATCAGATCAGCAAAGTGAAAGGGACAGGAGAAATAAAGGTTGCTACATGTTTAGCAATCAGTGGTTACATTGGCAAGGGCTCATTGCCTCATTCCCTGTTGGCATCCAGCCAACAAATGAATGTTGACGAAGCCCGATACAATGCAATAGGTTTAAGCTGTCATGCAGAAAAAGAGACTGAAATGAAAGCGTGGCGTAAAGATCCCTGACATAAACAGGACAAACCAAGATTAATCTTGTTTAAAAGTAATGCACCAGTGCTAAAAGGACACATAGTGGACATGTAGAGTAGAGTGGGGTGGCTGTGGCTCAGTGGATAGTGTGCTGGACTTCGAATCCGGGGATAGCAAGTTCGAGTCCCACTGCAGTCAGCATGTCGTTGTGTCCCTGAGACACTTCACCTCAAATTGCTCCTATGGGGATTGTCCACAGTACTGAATGTATGTAAGTCGCTTTGGATAAAAGCGTCTAACAAGTGACATGTTATGTAGAAATAGAACAGGTATTACTTTTGAGTTGTTAATATTAATGGATTACATGCAGCCATTCATTTTTGCAAATCCTAATTATTGTACAAAGCATTTAATATAATTTATAATCCTAACAGAACTTGTGGTGTAGACCTGAAAAAGAGTTCACTCTGCACTAAAAAAAAGGTAACGGAACCAACTGATGCATGTTTGTTTCAGTTCTTCTTTTTACTTTAGATAACAGTTCTTAGGAAACATGTGATAAGCCGATCCTGCTGCTGAATCATCAACATCCTAATGTGTGAGTGCTGCCTTGAAGCTTCCCATAGCTGTACAAAGCTGGGTTATTGGATATTTTAAAAGCTTTATGACCAGATGTAACAGGTGTAGTTTAAGACTTAGTTTTAAGCTACTGTTACAATTAATATGTGAATCTGAAGTGCACTCGTTTATTGTAGACGTGGAGAACACTTTTTTTTGTGCCAGTCAGCAAGTTTTAAAAGCATATCACAACATCTGTGCGTCAGCTGAGTCGATCAATAATGTTGTTTCTGATACAGGGGATGGAGATAGACTGCCAGCCCGAGGAACCGGTCATCTCTTCTTTTGACGAGGACTGTGTTGAGCTTGGTGACGTCAAGGACATGAGATTGGAGGCAGAGGCAGTTGTCAGTGACGTTCTTTTTGCCGTTGCTGAAATGCACTTGTCACAACGTTTCAACAGCGCGAGGGATGTGGCCCACATCAACGTGGAAACAAAAGAGGGAAACCGGTATTGTCTGGAACTCACAGAGTCCGGACTACGGGTAAGATGCACCAAAAGTGAAATGTGTTATTTCTTGTTTTATTACTCCTTTATGGCCTGTTTTATAATAAATCACTCTACCATACAGGTGGTGGGCTATGCCTTCGATCAAGTGGACGAGGATTTGAACACCCAGTATCATGAGACTGTTTACTCTCTTCTGGACAAGCTGAGTCCGGGTTACAGAGAAGCCTTTGGGAACGCTTTACTCCAGCGGCTCGAGCAGCTGAAGCAAAACGGACAATAAAAAGAACCAACATGCTGTAGAAGTGGAATGAGGGCTGATGATGCAGGGTGTATTTTGATGTATCCACCTGCCTAGCTACCATTACAATAAGAGCCCCATCAACTTATTTTCATACCATTGAAGGACTTCTACTGCTAGGTATTGGCTATATGGGCTCTGTTGCAACATTGTGTTGTTGACTTTACTGTGGTAAGATCTTCCAGCTTCCACATGATTCAAATCTGTGTCAGAGCACATCGTCTGAGTATTCTGCACCTTTTTGTATTTGTAATTATCCGAGAAGGTGGAGCAACAAGTTTATTCCTCTACCCTGCTTTCACTGTAGTTCTGAGCTGATATCTGCTCAAATATACGTAGCTACTACTTATTCAGCACCTCAAAGAGCCAAAGCTACACTGAACAAAAATATAAATGCAACACTTTTGTTTTTGCTCCCATTTTTCATGAGATGAACTCAAAGATCTAAAACATTTTCTATATACACCAAATAACCATTTCTCTCAAATATTGTTCACAAATCTGAAAAAATCTATGTTAGTGAGCACTTCTCCTTTGCCGAGATAATCCATCCCACCTCACAGGTGTGGCATATCAAGATGCTGATTAGACAGCATGATTATTGCACAGGTGTGCCTTAGGCTGGCCACAATAAAAGGCCACTCTGAAACGTGCAGTTTTGCTTTATTGGGGGGTTCTGGGAGGGTCCGAAAACCTAGGGTTAAACCCTAACCCTAACATGTCACCCATTGAGCATGTTTGGGATGATCTGGTTCGGCGTATACGACAGCGTGTTCCATTTCCTGCCAATATACAGCAACTTCGCACAGCCATTGAAGAGGAGTGGACCACAGGCCACAATCAACAACCTGATCAACTCTATGCGAAGGAGATGGGTGACATGTTAGGGTTAGGGTTGGGGTTTAATACATGAATTTGTGTCCCCGGTGTTCCAGGGAACTCACCAAGTGTCAGAAAATACAACCCTCTCTCTTTTCCTCCATACCCAAATCTCTAAAAACTGGGGCCGCAACGGATTTGATACATGTGATTCTGAGTGCCACTCTATGTCGACCAGAGGTGCACCCAGCCTGTATTGCAACTCTCCCACCATCAGGAGGGAAGAGAGGTGCCGTGGCATGGCAACCAGGTTAGCAACAGCATGGGCAACGAGCAATTAGTAACATGGATCTCTGGCCCGCCCTCCCTCCTTTGCAGGGGGGTCGGGTCACTCCAGCTTTCACGCAAAGACAGAGCTGGAGTGAGGCAAAATGAGCTGCGGCTGAAAATGCATATCCTTGGTATTTTGAAAAAATAAAGACTTAAAATATACCTT